TTTATAAAATTAATTTAAAAAAAAAAATTTTTAAAAATTTTAATTTTTCATAAAAGTAAATCAGAAGGGAATTTATAGTAAATAAGTAGGCAAATTTGCCTGCGAACCTCTACAGTTTAAGGGATATAATATAATTATATTACATGATGGTATCCTACTATTTGTATTAAAAATAAAAAGTTAAAATAATAATACATCATATTATTTATAAAAATTAGATCAATCCAAAAATAACTTACGTAAATTAATAAATATAATATATCAGACAATCAGAGTAGATCTACAATAACAAGTCATCACCTCAGTAATAAATAAAAATCATTATAATATAAGGTTATAGTGAAGATTTTAAAAGATTTGATTGGTTAATTCGCTATAACAAGAGTATTTTTATTATATTTGTTTAAAAAATTCATTATATTAAGAGTTTACTATATTAAAAGTTGACTGTAATCATTCAAAATATAGGTGAGAAAATAAACTATTTAGTATTACTTATTATATCATTTTCAGAAGATTTTTATACATGTACTTTTCTAATGAAAAATTAAAGAACTTTCTAAAAACTGTAAATACTCTTATTATTGATGAGATTTCTATGACTTCTACAGAACTATTTGACTTTAGTTTTTATTAATATAATATTATAGTAGTTAGTGATTTTTTTCAACTTTCTTCTGTAACTAGATAACATATATTTTGAGTTATTGCTTAGATTTTATTCTATTTTCTTTTTTTAATGATTCTATAACATTAATAGGTAGACATGATATTTTTTTATATGTTAGAAGAAATTCATATAGACAATATCTCAGAAAATACCTGAAATATATTATAATAACACTATTCAGAATTCTTGTCTTATTCTGCAATTGATGTATTTTTCAATACTACTAATATTGTAAGTTTTATAGAAAATGCATAAATAATCAATAGGATGATTTGCAATATGTTTCCTATTTCATATGATTGTATTTATATCTTATAAGCATCAGACTTTGTTAGTTAACTCCTCTTTATCTAATAAGATGTTCAAAACAAAAATAAACCTTCTCTTAAATGTACATTTGCAATTAGGTATCTGTATCATGTATCTTAATAATTTATTAATTGATTAAAGTATATGTAATGGTATTATAAGTGTGATTATAAATGTAAATATAGCAAATAAGTATGTTTATATTGTTTTCTCAGTTTAAGGTTCTATAATTAATGTTAACGTTTACAAACAAACTCATTACTTTAATATAAATGAAAATAACTGTTTCTACTTACATTTTTCCTTATAGAATTCATTTGTCTTGACAGTTCATAAAACCCAAGAATTAACCTTACTAAGGGTCTCCCTTACATTAGATGGAAACATCTTTGCTTCTAATCAGGTTTATATTACACTTAGCAGGTATTCTACTTAGAATAATGTTGAAATATCTCATCATGACAAATTAGCTTTCATGACTGATCCTGAAGTTATTCTAGAGTATCAACATTTCAGAAACAGACCTTCATACATTTTACAACTTCTTACATGATTTAATTAGACAAAATTAACAAAAAAAGAATAGTATTTATTTTAATTAAGATATACATGATTTACATTATAACTGAATAATCAAACATAAAAAAATAAAATAATGAAATATTAAAAAAAAAATAAAACAATTTGCCAAAATCAAGTAAATTCGTCAAATAAATTACCTTTATTTAAATTACAAAATTATTTAAATAAAAATAAAAATTAATAATTTAAAAACTCATATGTAACACAACCACAATCATACGAATCTTGTGATTATGTACTGACTAGTTTAAAATACTAATATTAGATGCATTTTAATAAGATAAATCTTAGTTTCATCTTTTATTAATCACTAGATTTCAAAATATTACAAGTTTTCTAAAATAATTTATACTTACCGTTTAAGAGATAATTTTTTACATAATAAAAATAATTAATTAATCAAAAAAGTAAGCCTAATTTCGATGCATGTTTGCTAGACGATGAATTACATAAAAATTTATTAAATTAGCTTGATATTTAGAGAATGATCAAAGATATCGTTTAATAATTTAAAATTATCCTCTCAAATAGCATCTATTCATCTTATTATTATTATTATATACAGTAATTCTTGTTTACTGGTGGTTTTATCTTTGGCCGCTTTTTTTTTGCTAAAATCGTGATTGAGGATTTTAATCAATTCGTCATCCACTTCCACTATATTCTTGAGGAAATAATTTGCTAAATACAAATTATTGAAAAGAAAATATTTCTAGAAGCTGCAATTAAAATACTTGAAAAGTTTCTAAACCCTTCAAACTCTCATAATTCTGATATAAAAAGGTTGGTTTTTTTTATGTAATGAAATATTTGTTAAATAAATTCTTAATTTTAAAGAACGATTATAATCGCCGCCGCAGCACCTTAAAAAAAAAAAACTTGTACTGCCTCTTTTTTTGAAAAAAAAAAAAAAAAAGCCACCGTAAAAATTTTATTTCTGTAATCAGTAAAACAAAAGGTATAAACGAGATTTTTCTAAAAAGGAGTCTCGATATGATAAGTAATTTTATCGTCCAATGATTGCTGACGTGTTCTGCAAGTCATTCATTGAAAAGATACCAATCTTTTAATTTGTCCTTTTAAGTATTTATGATAAACCTAAACAAAGAAAACAAGGTCAAGGTTTATTGTGATATTAAATACCATAAATAACAATAACTGTATTGTCAAATGACAATAAAAAATCTTTGATATTTACTTTGTTCATCCGCAGTAATGCGGTTCCTGCAAAAAAGGATCCTCAAGCGTTACAAAAAAAAATTCAAAAAAATCTCTGTCCCACGAAATTCACATGTAATAATGAGAATTTTTTTTTTTTTATATATAAATTGATCTAAAAAGATGTAAAATAACCACCATTCCCTTTATTCTCGTTTTTTTTTTTGTTTTTTTTTTTTTTTTTTCCTTTCACATAAAAATCATAAAAATCATAAAAATCTTTAATCATGTCAAATCCAGATTATGATGCCGTACGTGAAGATATCAAAAAGATTATTCCTAACAAAGATTGGGATGATGGATCTCTTGGTCCAATTCTTGTACGTTTAGCTTGGCATGCTTCAGGAACTTATGATGCTCACTCAAAGACTGGTGGTTCTAACGGAGCTACTATGAGGTTTCATACCGAATCTTCTGATCCCGCTAATTCTGGTTTAGAACACGCACGTAAATTTTTGGAACCAATAAAGGAAAAACATCCTTGGATTTCTTGTAAGTCACATTTTATTTTTTAAAAAAAGAATTTTTCTTGTAAATTAATTTTTTTTACTTTCTTTTTTTGCCTAGATGCCGATCTTTGGACTCTTGCTGGTGTTGTTGCCGTTCAAGAATTAGGTGGACCAATTGTTCCATGGAAACCTGGTCGCAAAGATAAAGCTAATGAAACAGAATGTCCACCACAGGGTCGTCTCCCAGACGCCTCTCAAGGTGAAAAACACGTTCGAGCTGTTTTTAATCGGATGGGATTCAATGATCGGTTAGTAAATTATTATTTATCATGGTGACGCATGATAAAAGGGTAATCGGTAACTCAATCTCGCATTTGATTATTTTATTCGAAAAAAAAAAATTCAGCGAGATTGTCGCTCTCGTTGGAGCTCACGCTATAGGTCGGTGTCACAAGGATCGTTCGGGATATGATGGACCTTGGACACATACTCCTACCAGATTCACCTCACAATAGTAAGTTAACCGCAAAAACAATGTTTTATTCTAGTTTGTTTGTTGAATCTTGTTCTTTAATCCTCCTCCTTTTTTTTTTTTTTTTTTTTTTAAAAAAAAAAGTTACATTCAATTGTTAAAACAAAATTGGACTACCAAAGAAGTTAACGGTCAAGTTCAATATAAAGATGATAAAGATAGACTTATGATGCTTCCAGCTGATATGGCATTAGTTTGGGACCCTGAATTCAAAAAGATTGTTGAAGAATATGCTAAAGACAAACAAGCATTCTTTAATGATTTCGCTGCTGCATTTGGAAAATTGTTAGAACTTGGAGTTACACGATCGAGTGGTGAGGCTCGATTATAATTATAAAGTAATAAATTGAACATTTTAAAAAATTCCACTTCATTGTCTCTCGTTAACATTTTAAATGCTTTTTTTTTTTTTTAGATACGGAGACCGTTGCTTAATATCAATGTCATGTCCCTTTTGGATGTTGATAATTTAAAGCTCATGATATCAAATCAAAAATTTCTCTTTTTTATCTGTTTTTCTTTTCAATAAATGATTATATTTTTACGAGAATAACTTGCTATTTTCAGTTTTTTTTTTATTTGATCATTTTAAATTTATATGATTCATACCTTTTCATTTAAAATCCTTTCTTTTAGTTCCAGAAAGATCTATTCCTTTACTATTATTTAATTAGTGAAGGTTGATATCATGACTCGTGATAATTAAACGTTAAAGTTCTTATCTATGATGAGAGTATATATATTTTTTTTTTATTAAAAAAAATTTGTTTATGATATAATAAACCACATTTCCCCTCGTAAATAAATAAAAAAAGAACTAAATATAGATTTATATGTATAAAAAAAACAAATAAATTATAAAAACAATACACAACGTAAATAAAAAGCGCAGCTTTTTTCTATTCGAGTTGTCTAACGAGTGGAATTGGTTCAATTTATTCCATAATCGTAGCAGAGGTATCCTCCGTGATTTTAATATCCGGCATAAAGGAACTTCCCTCACTCATACCATCAGAATTAGTTTCATAATTCCTATCACTAGAACCTTCACCGTTATCCATCATCGTTAATTCATCATCATCATCATAACGATAATAAAAATCATCATTCATATGATGATATTGAGGATAATACTCGGCATTTCTATGATCATCCACGTAAACATCCCCATTTTGATTTTGATATCTAGGTTGAGAATACATATATTGAGAATGTTCCCAATATTGAGCTTGTTGTTGTTGTACTCCGATTAATCTTTCCATATATCCTGTATATAGTTTATCTACCATTTCTTGATATGCTTTCCTTCGACTTTGCCAATATCCTTCTATTCCTTCATTACGATCCTTTAATGTTGCTGAAGATTTTGAACCTGTCAACATCATTCTTCCTGACGTTACTTTCATTACATCAAAGCAAAATCCCAATGCCATTTGAACCGTTGAAACAATTCCAATTATTGTTAACAGGGAATTCCATAAGACGAACCTAAAAAAAGATTTTTTTTTTTTTTTTAGATACCCTTAAAGAAAAAAAATCAACTTTATTTTATTTATTTTTTTTAAAAGAAGTAGTAGTAATAATGTACATCATAGATAATCGAATTACGAAAGCCATCCAACGGTTTATCGCAATCATTAAAAGCGTCATGATTGCAAACGATACCCGAAAAAGTTTCATGATAGAACTAATAATAAACATCGTTTTCTATTAATAAAAGTTCTCTATTTGTTTATGTGATTCTTGTATATATATTAAATCTATAAATTGTATCGAAGTAGTTAAAGGAAAGGGAGGGGGGAGAAATTGTATGTTTAACAATCGATTTATTTAATATATTCTATCAAATCAGAAATGTAACTTGATTTGGGTACGAGTGTGCACATTGTTGTAATATTAAGCAAGCGCGATCTACACAATTATCATCCATATAGGAGAATAATCAGCCATATATGTTCATTCAAATTCTTACTAATTTATTTTGGAAATAATAAGGTTAAAATAAATAATCATAAGAAAAGAATTACTTGAATGGATTTTATATGATATTAAAGATTTGTCAAAATCACGCGGAATACAATGCATCCAAGTATCCGCAAGCGACCTCATTTACAATCGATTTGTCCGGTAAACTAGCCGCCATTCCATACATGGCGGCATTTCCGGAAAGTTTTCTATTTGGATCAGACTCTTTAATCTCTTTAATTGATTCCTTAAGATCCTGCAAAAATTGTTCTGCATGAGGTACTGTAAGCAGTGTACATGCGATATGAAGTGCTGGTGGATTTTGCAACGAATTTAAATTCCATCCTCTAGCCGACATTTTATCACTAAGTTCATAAATATTGAGCGTTTTTGATCCGAAGGCTACCACCGATACAAGTGGTTTGCCATACACAAATAGATCTTCCATTTGGCGAATGCTTAAGAGACAAAAAATAAATATTGATTAAAAATAATTTTTTTTTTTATTGTGTTTTGTTCCCCCCAAATAACTTACCCAGTTTCAATCTTTTTTGCGCATCCTACAATCTTTTTTGTGGAGTCAATATAACCAAGCTTTCCCATTCTCATTAAAGATGCCCAGCATCCGGCAATCAATGCACCAGGGCTATAAATAAGCAAAGTAAAGTTATAGTTCGTAAAATAATAACAACGCTTTCAAATAAAGAAACATTACCGTGATCCGGCAACTGTGGGTGAAGCATAGATTCCTCCTGTCCATTCAGGGCAAAAGAAATATTGGTATTTGCGAAGGCTTTTTGTGCGATACATGATCACTGAAGAACCTTTAGGTGCAAACCCATACTATATTTATTTATTAACGATTAAATTTCAAAAAATAAAAATTAAAACAAAGAATTAGCACAAATTTATTTTAGATAAATAATAAATTTTCTTAAATAACAACATTTTATCATGCCTTGTGTGTGTCACAAGATATTGAAGTTACTCCATTGACTCTGAAATCAAAAGGTTGAGCAGGATACCCTGCTTCTTCTAAAAATGGCACCAAAAAGCTACCCAAACAGCAATCAACATGCATTCCTATATCATATTTTTTGGCAATTGCTGCTAATGTAGGAATATCGTCAATTATTCCATGTGGAAAATTTGGTGCTGAACCTGCAATCTGTCGAAATAAAATCCTAATTAATTTAATTTTTTTTTTTTTTTTATGAAATAAAAAAAAAGTATAATAAAATATCACATACCATGATAGTGTTTTTATTAACTGCTCTGCTAACAGCTTTGGTATCAACACGGTAATCGCTAGGATCAATTGGAATTTTTATAATTTTAATTCCTAAATAACCGGCTGCTTTATCGAACGCTGCGTGTATAGTTTCTGGAACCACCCTATTGTAATAATGAAAATTGCATAATCATTGGTATTCGGGTGAAAATTTCAGAATTAGGAACAACTTACATTTCAGGTTCAGAAATCCCTTTCTCTTTCCTTGCCCGTTCGCGATATGTTTTACATGCCATAAAAATGCTCTCTGTACCACCTGAAGTGGTGGTACCTCCAGCACTTTCAGGTGCATGATACATGTTAAGCACCATCGCGACAACTTCGGCTTCCATCTTTCTTACACCAGGGAATACATCAGGATGCAAAGGATTACTTACAGAGAACATTGAATACGCCTCATTAAGTATTTTTGAATGATCCTCGCCTCCATGATACACTGCACCAGATACCCGACCTTCTTCCCACTTTATATCATTAGACATATCCTGATATCTAATAAAATATACTATTATGTGAATTGTTATTGAATCGAATGATCATATAAAGTCATAATTACCTTTTTAATTCATCTCTTAATTGTGCATCATTAAAACCAACATCAGGTAATGCAAGATATCTTGGTACGCCAGGTTCTTTTGGGGCAATTTTAGCTTCCATTTCTGTTATGGCTTTATTAATTTCAGATTGAAGTTTACTTCTCGCACCAGGTGCACTCGTTATTAATCTTAAAATTGCACCACCAATAATACGATAAATATCTCCGAGGGTACGACGTACTCCTTGAACAGCAATTTTATTTAATAAAAAGGAACCATAACGATATAACACTAAAATAAATATAAAATTTTTTAAACTATTTAATTTAGGAGAATTTAATAATAAAAATGTGAACTCAATTAATTGTCGTGGCGAAGTTAATGAACTTGCAGAAACTTTGCTCGACATCTTGAAAGGAATATTTCCAAACCTAAAATTCGAGAGCTCGGTATTTATTAAACTGTAGATCATGAGCGTGTGATAAATTCGATAAACTTATGGCTAATTTTAATTCAGCAAAAGTGAAACAAATCACGAGATTTGGCAGATTTTACTCCCAAATAGTTTAATCCGACGCTTTTAAAATGAACTTTCATGTCGTTCTTTTCAATTCCTCCTCATTTTGCCTTTATTTAATTAAACCTCAAACATGAACAACTTTTCTCGAGTGTTTACTAAAAACATTAATCAAGCGGTTCAGGTTGACAATTTTGTTTTATAGCGGTTGAATGAGGCACGTACATATACTTAATTCATCTATGAAATCTCTTTTATAGTTTGCATCTGAGAAATTTGGAACCGCGGAGGATATAACTGACCTACCTAAAGAGTATAAATTACTTGAGCTGGTTAATATCTTAAAAAAAATAATTTTGCTAGGTGTTTAATATCATAATAGTAGTATATATTTCTAACATAAATTCTCTGCATTTAATTTTTGATAAAATGAAAGCGCGTAGATGCTCTTCGAACCATTCATGAAGATTTGCTAAGGGTTACTCGGATTCATACAAATCCATCATATGATTATCCTGTACAACTTCAAGAAACTGTAAAAGAGCTTTCGCGTAGTGTTGGTGATCAATTGAAAATTCTAACTTCGTCTCCCGCTGATAGGATAGCTGAAACACGAGCAGCAGAAACTTTACCACCACAACCAAAAACATATCATCACGCTCTAGCACGGACCTCGGCACAAGGCGCGAATCTCTTGGGTAATGGAGATCCTCTTGGGGCGGCATTGATTAAATATGCGGCCGTACAAGAACGTATCGGAGAACATAGAATTAAGATGGATTCCGAGATCACTCAGAAATTTGTTCATCCTTTCAATACAACACTTAATAATAATATTCAAATTGCTATGAGGGCAAGAAGAAATGTTAATTCAACACGTTTGGCACTTGATGCTGCAAAGAGAAGACAAAAGACTGCTCAAGGAGAAAGGTCAGAAGCGTTAAGATTAGAAGTTGAGCAGACAGAAGATCAATTTGTAGCTGCTGTCGAGGAAGCGACTACAAAAATGAAATCTGTACTTGAAACGGTATCAAATTGACATTAAGAATCATTTTTATTTCTTTCGATCATTTAAAGGAAAGTTAATAATAATTGATCACCAAATTAAATTTAGCCTGAAGCCCTTCGAAATCTTTCAGACTTGGTGTCAGCTCAATTGGCGTTTTATGAAGAAGCTTATAAAACACTTGCTGATCTTGCACCAGAAATTGATGAAATGCAAGTGACACAAGAAGCTTTGTATAGGTAAGATATGATGATGATATATAAATTACATATTTCATTATGAAATATTAAAATTCTTTAATTATATCAGAAACAGTCGAAATGATTGAGGGGATTTCTTATTAATGCGCGCTAGCTAATATACTCTAGTCATCTTAATTATCATAGCAACTGTGTATGATTAGTAAGTATTAGTAAGTTTGAATATGATGGAAGGTAATAATATGTACATTTACTTGCATTAGCAATAAGTTTCATGCGAGAACATAAATTCAATACTTAATTCCTAAAAATTTCTAGTATATAATTAGAAATTAAATGTGTAACTTCATTCATTTATACATAATTTAATAATAAATCATTTGTATTTAAACACGTGATAAAATTTAACTTGTGGTTATCACACTATATGAATTTGACTTGAAATTTTTATATCACAGAAATAAGTGATATATTCAATAGCTCGGTCAGGTGAGTTTTGACAAGCTTTTTTAAAAGTTGTCCTTTTTATTTTTCTTTTGAAACTTAAATAACAATGCGTGGTTTGTTAGCATATATTGTAGTTACTTTGTGTTTCTTTTTAACTTATGTTTCTGGATTGATTTCGTTAATAACCCCGTTTTGGTAAGTTCTCTTCTAATAAGTCCATTCTATTGAATGGTATGTGTAATGCTTTGTATTGAATTTTTTCTTTTTGTCAAAAAATGTAAGGTTATCAAATCCGCTTACAACTTATGGTTTGTTTCAGGTAAGTTCTAATTAATTCAATAAAATGTTATTTATTTCTTCTATTAAATTCCATTATGTATTTTACTTTTCTTTAAAAGCAATGTGTAACATTTAAAGGAGAAACGAAATGTACGGAATTCCCTTCAGAAGAAAATGATGATTGCGTGGAGGAAGGATTTTGTGAAGAATGGTTTAAAATTAGATATTATATGATACTTGCAGCTGTAATTGGAGGAATTAATTTGATTTTTTGTATGTTTATATTATTAAGCCGTAAATTTCATAATGAACATGCTTGGAAAGTTGTTTTTGCTTTAACTTTATTTTCTTGTAAGTTTACTCTTTTGCTTTCTTTGTTAGATATTAAATTTAATATTTTTGCTAATATATTTGTCTTCGTTTTGTACAGCACTTGTTCAAATGTCTTCAGTTGAATCAGTTGATGAAATTGCTCCTCATTTCGGAGAACATGTTGAAAATGATATAAGTTATTATCTTGCTAGTTATTCTTCTTTTTATAATTTTCTATTAGCTTGTCTTTTGTTCGTGGTTGGTTTGACATATAACCCTTCATATGAGCGCATAAATTAGCTTAATGATCTAAGAAGTTTGTACAAACATTAACAAACTATAATGTATTTACATATATCTTTTATCATATACTTTATTACGTTATTCTTTTAACAATAAACAATTCAATTATTTTTTACCCATATTACAACCTTAGGATTAGTGTTGGTTATAAGGAAATTATTTCCCCCTCGTGTTACAGTTTTGTTCCACATTATTAAAATTTTCAAAGTTTAAACAGGACAAAACAATTTACAGTATATCAAATTATATTAATAAAAATAATTCCAAAATAAACAATTTATTATAGTAAAAATGAAAATAAAAAATGATCTATAATATCAGAAAATCATTTTTTTTTCCATTTTTTTTTTTATAATCACAGCAATTAGTTTAATTTGCTTTATAATTGACTTTTCTTAGTATTAATATTTAATCAATTTTTTTTGTATTTATTTAAATATTTTGCCATTACAAATTATATAATTTACTATGGTAAAGTTTTCATCTAATATATAATTAAAAAAAATAAAAATAATTTGAAAGTTTTTAAAGTATTTGAGAAACATAATGATGAAATAAATTACTTATTACTTTTTATACTTTTTTAAATATAGTAGCCTTACAAAATTTTTTTAAAATAAAACAAAAAAAAAAAAAATTTTAAATAATTTAATTTAAATTATATTAATATTAATCTTATCCTTTTAACTGTTTGTCTACAAATTTATAAGCAATTTTATTTATTAATTATAATTATTTTTAATTATTTTTAAATATTTTAAAATATATTATTAAAAAATTAATAATTTATAATAAATTTTATGATGTTTTCTAAGTAAAAATTAAAAAAAAAATGTAATTAACTAGTGAATTTTTAAAGATAAATAAATAATAAATTATTATAAAAAAAATTAAAATTCTAAACTCATATATCTTGCTATCTATCAATTTTAAAAATATAAAATATTACCATTTAATAGATCTTAATATGATAAATCCAATAAATTAAATTTTATATTTTTATAATTATTAAATAATAAATTTTTTTTAAAAATTAAAAAATTGTTAAATTAATATATTTTGATAATTATGAATTTTAAAAGTTTAAAAATACTACTATTAGATATATTATAATATAATAAATCTAAAAATTTTATTTTGTTTTTTATAATTATTAGATATCAAAATATTTTAAGTTTTTTAAAATTTTTTAGAAATAACTTTATACTTATAGTTTAAGGAATAATATTTTAAATTAAATAATTATTTACTTAATCAATTATATTTAATACTATTTAATTAAAATTTGAATTAATAAATATTAAAAAATATTAATTATTAAAAGAAATATAGCTAAAAATATATTATAATACAAATACTTTACAATAAAAATAATAGAAAAGAAATTATCAAAAAAATTTTTTACTATATAAGCTAATATTATTTTTTAGTAAAATAAGTTCTAATTTAATATTAATTCAAAAAATTTTTTGGTAATTTTCTCTCTTTCTATTATAAAGAACTTATATTGATCTAATATAAAAAGATTGATATATAAAAATTATTACCTGATTTTCTTATCTAATAAAAAATTTAACAATTATGACATTTAAGTATACAAATGATATGAATATATTCAAAGTTTAAAATAATTAATAGATTTGAAAAAAATTTCTTATAAATAATTTAACTGAAAAGATAAATCTGTTAACTAATAATAAATAAAAAATAATTTTAATATCTATCAATACTTTTTATATATTTATAAAGATAAAAATCAATATTATAATATATTATTATATAAGAAAATTATATAGTTTTTAATATTTAAAAAGTTATACTTACATATATAATTATTAAATAAAATAAAAAATGGAAAATTTTAAATACAAATATAACAAAAATATCATTTAATTAAAAAATTAATATTATTATTTTAAATGAATATTATTTATTTGAAATAATTGATATTATTATTCTAAATAAATAATAAGAATATTATTTATTTAGAACAATTAAAATTATCATTTTAAATAAATGCTAAAAATATTATTTAATTGAAATAAGGCAGAATAAACTTATATAATTAGTTTTCATATTCTGGCTAGATCAGAAAAGTGAGATTTCAAAAAATTTTTTAAATTATAATTGACTAAGCGAAAGACTCCATTTTGATATCATGTGATTAAATTAATTTAATGCTAATTTATTATTAAATTTATTATATTCATTATCAAAAAAATTAAAAAAATTTATTGATTTTTATTTGTTTTAGGTTTTTATATATTTTCGATTGTTTTTATTACCTTGTTCTTACCTCAAACATTTCTTTGAATTAGCAGCATTACTACTAAAATTATTATAATATGAATACTCACCTTTTGCTAGTTTAGAAACATCTAAGTTGCCACATTCAATACAAATGTCTGGATAAATTCTGGTTAAATAGTATAGTTTTTCTACTTGTGATACACAAGACCATGAGTCATTAATAAAACTCTTGAAAAGAATTCACAAATTGAATCTCTTATACTACTATCAGACTCTTTCTTTATAGTATTATCAGGCTCTTTATCTTCATCTTTAGGTTCAAGCTGTTTATTTTCATCTTCCTTATCTATATTTTTTTAATCATTAACTTTATCATTAATATCATTTTTCATATCATGTTTTGGTAATATGATCATTATTAAGTCACATGTACTATGAAATGATATACTGCAGGTATAAAAAATCATATCTAAAATTTTCGTAAGGTTATTTTATCCTTTTTAAAAAGTTTTTTTGCACTGAATAGAAGATACAGCTTTTCACATTCAGTGCAATTACAGTAATATCAACATTTTTTGCACGTATAACAAAAGAACAAAAAGGCATAGTGTGTTTTGTCTTTGTAGTTTTTATTTCACCTTTTTTCATTTTTGCTTTAGCATTTATAAAAGAAGACCTATAGTTTTCTGTTGTTTGTGCATTTCAAATGATTTATAATGCAAGTTATTTCTAAATACTAGATCTGAAAGATAATGTAATAGTTCAAAATCTTTTGTGAATAACAGGAAAGACGATAAATGTTACAGTCTAATTTATCACACTTCTTAATTGTAAAAAAATAATGCCTTGCTGTATAACAATAGTCTAAGAATTCCTGCAGATGTGGCTTTTAAAATAAATATATGTTATTTAAGCTTTTTTTGTATAATTCATTTAATTATTTTACTTACCCTTTATTTTATTTGTTCTGTAGTATAATCTTTATAAGTAACACTATCATTCACAATTTGAATCATTTTTCAGAATCTCTCTATTTCTATTTTTGATGTTGCAGCAAATGTTCTGCACAGCTCATCTTTAAGAGATTGGCAGTTAAACACACATTAATTAAATGAATTAGAGCTTGAAGGCTTTCAATAAGATTTTTCTTTAAGTTAGAATATTCCTCGGTAATTTTGCGAATTTCGTTCATTATATCAACTTTACCTATTAATTTTTCTAATTCATTGTTCATCTTAGCCTGTAGGGTTGGATCGGTCTGGTCCAGTCTGGTCCAGTCCAAAAAAACCGGTCTTTTATCTTTTTTAGGACCGGACCGATCTTTGTATATTCAGTTCTACCAGTCTGGTCCAATCCAAAATGTATTTCCTTTTCGGTCTAGACTGATTGATAAGACCAGTCCAAGGACTGATCCTTAGTTAGCATATAGTATTAAAGTTTAATTTTAAAGAAGACAAAAATAAATTGTTTTTATTATAAATAAATACAAATATATACTAAATTAAATTGTTTAATATTAAAAAAAATGTTCCTTCCTTCTTTACTAATTACTGTTCTAC